GTTGTCTTTTACTATGCATTTCTTTCGGTAAGTGTTTATTAGTTTTTTTTATAAAAATACTTTTAAAACTATAAAAAGCTTGATAATTGAATTATTAAATTTATAGCAATTATTCTAATTTAAATATATTACTGTATATGATTTTAATAGTAGTTATAAGCTTTACTTTATGATTTTTATACTAAATACTAATTTATATTTAATATGATAATTTAAATAATAATTTATAAATAATAACTTTTATAATAATTAATACTGAAATAATTAGGAAATAAAATGGTAAAACATTGCAATTACTATGCATTGAAATAATTATGCACAATTAATGCAACACTTAAGTAATGTAATCGCTGTAAAAACTAATATTAAAAGCGCTTTTTAAACAATCGGCGTTTAAACTTTAAATGCAGTTTTTAATATGAAAAATAGCTTTATTTATACAAATCAATGCAGTGTTTGTCGAGAGTAAATCAAATCAAAGTCAAGGTAAATGGAACAAGGTGATCTCGCAAGGCTCGTGTGTACACACAATACAAGGCTATCGCAAATACTGGGATAATTGTCTTAATTGTAATTATATGACTGTATTATACTGTAGCTATGATATGATATTTACATTTGAAATATGGAAATACTGTCAGACATGGGAAGCCTTGAGTGCAATAATAAGTGATTGCATTGAAGATGTGATGTGTTAGTGGGTCAGAGTCAGCACCGATACCACAGCACAGGTACCACAGCACAGGTACTCGTTCTTCCACTCGATTACTCCTAATTTGTTATAACATTTTCGCATATTATACGCTTTTCTGACTTATAATCCATTTGCTGACAGTCATCATCGCATACATGCAACTTATTGTTAATATAAATATTCATATAACTTAAGTTAACTTTATTATTCAAACGATATTCTGTTGCAAATTACTCGCAAATAGGTTTCCCAATAGACATTGAATCAATAGTATTGATTATTTGACAGCAAATTCAAGTGCTAATTAATTCAACACAAAAGTAGCTTTACACTAAATAACGGCACTAATTAGCAAACTCTACAATCATTGTCTACATCAACACAAAAAGCTCATCAAAAAGTCTAACTCATTGTTTAGCCTTTTATTTAATAGTTCAGTCAATATATATTAGCTTTAATTTACAACTCATTGACAACACATATGATCCTAAAATAAATTCAAATTAAATTCAAATAAATTTTTAAATATTTCACACCTAAGCGCCGACTCAACAACAGGGCCGCAGAGCGCCGGTAGCCGTTCCCGCCTCACAATCTACTGCCGGCAATAGAAGGGGTGGACAGCCGTCGAGTTCCCCGACTCTATCGCGCGGAGGACCGCAACCGCCGCCGCCCGCCGACGATGAGGACGAGGACACCGACGCGAACGGAGACATACGCTTTGTGTGTCCCAAAGCGGACGGCCTGTTCCCGGACCCCAATAGTTGTCGCAAATTCATGCTCTGCGGGTCGTGGAAGGCGTGGTCCCAGACGTGTCCTCCGAGTCTCTACTTCGACGGCAAACTCAAGTACTGTACGTTCAAAACACCTCAACTCAAGTGCGGTGCCGTCAGCGAAGAGGAGACCGAGAAAGAGGAACTGGAGAGGAATCAGGACAAACTGCCCACTTGTGACCCCAACCAATGCCAACTTCCCAATTGTTTTTGCTCAGAGGAGGGCACATCCATACCCGGTATTACTTAACTATTTTGTATTCATGTGATCAATGAATAACTGTTGCGATGACTGACAGGCGGCCTAAACCCCAGCGAAACCCCGCAAATGGTTTTAATCAACTTTAGCGGCGCTCTCAATGAGCTGGTGTTTGAACTCTACAAAAAGGCTCTGGGTTATACCTCAAAGTTCAACGCGCATCAAACTAGGTTTGACATCCAAAAACTTTGGACTTTTAGGAAATGTTTGCTTGATTTCTAAAACAGTGTTTGCATTGAATCATTGAATCAGACATAACCCGAACGGGTGTGGCATCAGAGCCACGTTCTTCATAAACCACGAGTACTCCAATTACGCCCAAATCCAGTGGTTGGCGGCTCAGGGACACGAGATAGCCATGCACTCCATTACGTACGACATACTGAAACAGTAGTGAATTGTTGATTACATAGTAATAATTCTTGTCCCTCGAAGTCATCGTTTGCCGGAAATCTGGTGGACAGACACCGCTAACTATAGCGATTGGGCCGAAGAGATCATTGGGATCCGCGAAATAATTTTGGCCAACTCTGCCGGTTCGTCGTCTAACCCGGCCGTCACCAGAGAGACTTTGGTCGGCATGAGAGCCCCATATATTAAGCCAGGTTTTCGACACACATTATAACACTACGAATATTAATCATACATTTGATTGCATGGACTGAACAGGTGGTGACAATATGTTTGAGATGGCCAGCGATTTCGGACTCGTGTACGACTCGAGTGTTGTGGCCCCGCGTGGGCCGACCCCCATCTGGCCCTTCACGTGGGACTACAGACAGCCCTTCGACTGCTCTAACAATAAGAAGGCCGACGAGGAGAAGAAGAGCGTCGACGGCGACGACATTCTCGGCACTAATACTCGCCCCCAGAGTAGGGGTCGCCAGAAGAGGAGCGCTAAACAAGTGAAGACAACACACAAGAAGACGACGACATTCGGCGAGAAGAAGGCAAATGAAAAGCCCATTAATCGGAAGCAAAGGGTTCGCCGTTCGTTTTTGGGCCGACCCCTCAAGTGCGCCACCAAAGCATACCCGGGTCTTTGGGAGATACCGATAAACCCGCTCTGGAATGAGTACAATACGTGCCATCACGCGGATCAGTGTGTATTCCCCCACTCGTCAGATGCCGACGATATCAACGATATCACCGAATTTCTTAAGGAGAACTTCGAGCGCCATTACTCCACAAATCGGGCGCCTTTCCAGTTGAACTTCCACGTGACCTGGTTCACTCAGAAGTATGTCCATCGCTTGCACCACTAATTGAGTCCACGGATATGTGTAATTTGTTTGAATCCATTTCAGGGGTCACATCAAAGCTCTCAACAAATTCTTCGACTACTTAGCGACACTAAAGGACGTCTGGTTTGTGACATATCAACAGTTGGTGTCGTGGATGAGAGACCCGAAACGGATCAGTGAAGTGAACTTCAAGTGCGAGAACGCCACGGCCGCCACCTGTACCCGACCCCACACTTGTGTAGTGAAGCACTATCTCGACAAAGACAATACGGCCGCCACGGAAGACAATTACAATAAGGCCGACACCAGGTATATGCCGGTGTGTCACTCGAGTACCTGTCCTCAACAGTACCAGTGGTTCGGAAACCACGCGGGAAAGAAACACCACTTCAAGACTATTATGCAATTAGTCGACGACGCTGTCGGACCCGAAGCCCCAACTAATTAGACACTCATTTGTTAGCATTATTTTTGCAAATTTTGTTTATTGTAAATATCATTCACTTATTTCGTGTTTAAATGATGTCAAATGCGTTTTGTTTTTACAGACAATTCATTTCAGCGATTAAATGATATTATATAAAGTTTTTTATTTTTTGTATAAAAAATATATTTATGTTTTCAATTATGAGTTTTATTTTTCGCTAACGAATATAATTTAAATTTTTTTATGCCAAACATTAACTCCATTTACATAATACTCATTGAGAATACATTTCACAACAGAGTGTGTATTACTTTTAAAAATCCAATTATTTTACCAAAATATGAGATCAAATGACTTTTTATCGATTAAAACTTGAGATCTTCTGTAATATATTCGCCTTTTTTGGGATTTATTTGATATATTCTCTCAATATATTAAGAGTAAAAGTTTAAATTTTTCCCAAAAAGGTATTATTTCTCAGCTCTTGTTGTCTGACTTGACTCACGACCGCCCGAGAAGTGCTTAAAATAGTTTGAATACAATTCAAATGAATCTTCAAATTGAAAAGTAAAGCCACGATTTCATTGTAATTTATCTCTAAATAAAATATTATTTTACACAATTCCGTGTCTTATGATAAATTTAATAAAAGGTAATATATTTATAAATAGTGTCACAAATATAGAAATCCTTTGCTAAAATTCTTTATTTTCAACCATTAAATTGTATATAATCTTTGGATATAGAAATCATTAATTAAAATAATGATTTTAAAATGTGTTCCCAATATACAGCACCACAAATGCTATCAGTTTGCAAAATTCTGTACTGTATTGTATTTGACATAATAATTCATAAAAGTGTAGTTTACTCAACAAATTCTCAAACATCTCACTAATAAATTATAAAAATTTATATATATTTGGTTACATTATTTTTAAAAATAAGACAATTTTAATAAACTATAACTTATGACATGTCATATACAAAAAATCATCATATATTTAATAACTAAAATTTACATCAAAAAATATTTACATTTATTTGGATAATATATTATACGATATATAAAAATGTCAACTAAATTACAATAACTTTTTTCTCACAAAATATTACATATAATTAAAGTGTTTGTTTCAAAACTAGACAACAGAATTGGTGCTATCAATGAGTTTGTGATCATTTGAGTCTTGCTTTTGGATTTGAGTGCGAATTGTGTTCACGTCGTGTATGACGAGTGTCTTCTTCACGGATGAACTCTTGGAAGTCTTCGGTGATGTCATCGAAAATCGTTGAGTTCTGTGGCAAACAAATGGCAAATATAAGCTTTTTGTGCAATTTATGTTTCAATCATAGCTTATGAACTCATTAGCAAACCTACATGTCTTAATTTAATTGGAAATAAATTTAATTTCACTTAAAAAGTAAATTATATATATTTTTAAAAGTAAACACATTTCGATAAATTCTCGACTTTGATGTCTAAAATTAGAAATAATGATTAAAACGATGTAAAGTTTAAATACACGTTAAAATCTTTTACTAAACCCCAGAAACTATAGAAACTTAAGTGAATTACAGTATAATATAGTAATTGAATCGACAAACGGTAATCTTTTTTATTCATTGAAAACACAAAGTTTCCAATAAATGAGATTTGAAAGACTTATTGGCGAAAAGTTAACTTAATTTTGGTCAGTCAATCAAAATTTACTTCAATAACACACAACAGTTATTTTCATCTATTTTTATAGAAAACAAAAAACAATACTTTAATTAAAGACAAAATTCAATATACGATAATGTTATTGTATTCGTTATAACAAAAACAATGGCACATATTAGTTGTACTATTAATGGTACGGAATCTGTATCACAGATATTGTCGATGTTTTCACGCAAATAAATATAAGAAACACTTAAACCAAGACATAAAAGGATTCATTTGGTGATGAGATTGAAATCTTTGATATGACTTGTTATCAAACATTAAGTCATTAATAGTTCAGTTGATTATTTGCACTAAATAATTATATAATAAATATTTAAATTAATATTTATCCAAATACTTATAAGTATTATATCGTTAAAGAATTATCTTTGAACTTTATTGAAAATTATTTATTTATTTCTAAAATAATGTTTACCCTCGATATTAGAAATTAATTGTATTTATCTTTGATGTTTAGTTCATAAAATAAGATTAAAAGTATTACTAATTCTAATTAAATTTATATTTCAACATTAATTGAAAGTAAACACAGAGATGAGAGATGATGATAGGGGAGAGGGAGAGAGAGAGAGAGAGAGAGAGAGAGAGAGCATAGTATACCTGGAAGATGAATGAGTAGCGGAATTGATTGTATTATAATCGACTCGTTTGGAAGTACTTTCGCGAGTCTGCGGTCCACTCACACAACAAACTCGACTTAAAACCCGTGAGAGACTAAGTCTTCTGCAAACAATTTCAAACAATTTTCAATTATTAACCATTTGTTTAAATTCACATAATATGATATCATAAATATATTATCACTAGAATATATTAGAAGCTAGCGTAATACTCATTTATAAATACTTTAAAACTCATTATTAATTATTTATAAATTGCAGTACAAATAAATTGCACACAAAATATTTAGGTAAACATCGGCTAAAGTTTAAAGTCATTACAGAAATAATAGTTTTTTAATAATTTACAATCAGTTTTAATTCTGGCATTATCTGACATGTACAATGCATTAAATACTAATATTCAGCATAAATGGAAAAGTTTAAATGTTTAACATTGTTCACTAGAAAATTATACGCTAAACGAAGTGTTAATATTTAATTAATTAAGAAACTTTCAATTAAAATATTGAATCAACTCAACAGTTATTGAAACGCTATCTATATTTAGATGAATTTAAAATGCCATTCATAGCATGTTTAACATAGATATTACACTCAATGAATGAATTGATTAAATAATTGCCAAAAACGGCGGCTATTTTACCGAAGATTGCGACAGAAATGTGTTGAGAATAAAAAATAGATGAAAGGATTGGCGGCTGAGTTGAGTGGAGCCAGACTTTGGATGAATGTCGAGATTGCGATCGTTGTTTGGGACACAGGTATCGCTCCCCACACTTGCAGTAAATCCCATACGAAGTAAGGACTCCAACACATTATGAATACTAATTGTACAATTAGATCATATATTAATGCTGATAAACTATAGTTATAAAGGTTTTAAAAAAATTTGTGCAATATAATATCACATTAAAGCCAATTTAGCCCTAAAATAGCTTTTTATGGAGATCATAAGGCATTGAAATAACATTAACATTAAGTTAATATGGTATCATTAACTGGTCAGGGCAACAGCATCATTATTTTGATGTCATATTTTTGCCCATTTATTCAAACATATTATACTGAATCGTATGTTATATAAAATAAAGATTAAGATAAATAATAGTAATAACATTGTAGGGTTATAGTCAACTTTAACCAAATTTAATTTATATTAACTTTTGATAATAGACTTATTTAATTCAAAATTATATCGCTTATTCAAGTATAAAAATTAGATCATTAATAATAATAATGATAATCTACAAAATCAAGTTTAATTATTTTGTAAAATAAAATCTAATAAAATTTGAAATTATTAAACAAAAAGACATTCATAACGTTAAGCAATCCGCTGACTCTTTAATCTCTACTTCGAGTTTAAGTCTTTGAAGATTTTATTCGCTTTTCGGTTAACATAACAATAGATTTATTTAATAAGTGTTTCGTTTAGACAATAGGAATTGAGTATAATATGGGATTAATTACTCACCAAATACTATAACAAATGTCATTTTGACGGTTTTTATTTTGGCTTTCGGTATAATCCCTCGACTACTGGCGCGCTTAAAGTCATTGTCATTATCGACGTATTTATCATTACTATTATCTGATAATTAAAAGACAAAAAAGACGAGAGAATTAAGTATTAATGAAAAAATAAGAGACAAAAACAAAATACTTGTCTCGCGTTTGTGATGGGAATCGTCGGTCGACTTATTCTTCGTCGACTTGGACTTGGCTTTGGGGTAAGTCATGGCCGCGCTTTTGGCCCAAATGGTGTGGACGATGATTAGATAGCACAGGGATATGATGACAGTGGGTATGAAGAACAGGGATGTGGCCACCAGTGATATATAGATCTTCCACTCGTACTTCTCTAATTGGATCCAACACTGCGGGTGCCCTTCGATCTCCTCTTCCTTGTTTAGGAAAATGGCCGGAATCGAGAAGACCGCGCTCATCGTCCAGGCGCTCAGCACCAGTATTTTGGCCCTTTTCCCTGCGAATCAATACAAATGACAAAATACTCCATACATTAGATGCGATTCCCAGACAAAAAAACGTATAATTCTCTATTGATTATTGCATTCATTGATTGTGTGAATGGATCTCTAGTACGAGAATTCAATCTTTAAAAACAGCAAAAAATCTGTTTTTGAGTTGAAAAGGTTCTCGCATTCAGTTTAGGAGAGAATGTAAAGAATTCGAGAGAGAGAGAGAGAGAGAAAGAGAGAGAGAGAGAGANATGTCTTGTATTTGATATAATTTATAAGATTAATATATTTTTTGTCTCAAAATAATTTATATATCTTTTATTTAACACTAATTTATTTCGATAGAGAGAGAGAGAGAGAGAGAGAGAGAGAGATTGCATTAAATAATTCAAATATTTTGTGCTCTATCATACTGTGCAATACAAAATGCATATTTAAATGTGAATTCCCTATAGGTTCTCGAGAAATAGATTTTATATTGAAACCCAGATTTCACACAATTGCAGAATTTAGGTTTTTTATATCAATTTATTTATTATTTATTTATTGAATGAAACTTTTTAGCCTAAAACTGCTCGGGATTATTGTCAACTTTTCAAAAAGTTTCTATACATCTAAGAAATCACACAAAAAGGCATCTTTTCAGACAACACACAAACCCTTACACTTCTCTTAGAGTTAACTAAAAATTGATATTTAAAATGTGATATCGTATGGGGGAAAGGGATGCCTCGGCGACTGAACCTCTGAGGGCGTAATTTTGAGAGTTAAAGATAAATGCAATAAAATATAAGATGTATTACTCACAGCTTCCGGTGAAGTTTAGCGGATGTGTTATCGCGTCGTATCGATCGATACTTAACGACACCAATACATAGGTCGATGAATACGTTACCAAAACCTATTCATCCGCAATAAAAACCCGCATTTAATATGTTTGTAGTATTCATATACACTATATCTTATGACTAATGATAAGTCTAGAGCCGAAAATTAAATTATATTATTCGTGGTATAAGTTAGAGATTTCTATTTATAAATTTCATTGTGTCAAAGTGAATTGGTGAGTTTAGAAAACGACTTGGCGTTTAATATGAAAAGTCAAACCAATTTAAATATAATATACATTACTATTAACTAGTAAAGGGATAATGGAAAAGCTCAAGGTTTTTGTCGGTGATTGATATGAATACCCGGATGACTGATGATTGCAGTGTTCAATAAAAGTCGGCGAATAGGATAATATTTTATACTTCATATTTTATTTAAGAGTAATAAATTTTAGTTTTTTACAAAAAAAATTAACAAAATTATGTGTTGAAACTCGAGCTGAAAATAAAGTAAAAATATTCTTACCCTATAGAATATTCTGTAATAAAGAATATTTTTTGATGAAAGTACTTCACAAACTTTTGGCAGTAATTATCATTAATAGTAAATATGATACCCAAACCAAATTGAGTCAAAGACCCGGAGCTAAACTATATTTTATGTAAAAACAAAATTTGGTATAAATTCTGTAAAAGATCTTGTATTAAATTATGAAAAGACCATTATGGTAACTAAATTGGGTATTTGGTAATAAATAGGTATAAAATTGTAAGTATTATATCTGGGATTTACATAAAATTATGTTTAAAAAATATATTAATGTTCAATAAATTGTAATAAGAATCGCACAAATATTTAATATAGGGATTTAAAATTGCCATTTATTTGAACTTACTAAACAAATCTCATTAAAAATAAATACACCTAAAAGGAAAACTACTATATTATAACTAAAATGTACAATAATTCCACGAAATCACAAGTTTTGAAAAATAATCTTTAAAATGCACTTTAAAAATGAATCATATCATAGTTTATAGGTTATAACATATTATTAAATAATTGATATACCAAGGTTGTAAAAATATTTTTAGCTCACTTTAGTAAATATAACGTACAATTGAATTATTAATAATCTAAAAAATAAAATTTTTAATTATTTGAAACAAAAGTTTGATCAAACACAAATAACATTACAATGCTACATTAATCTTGAATTATGGACATAACAAATTGAATTGTGCAATAAATATTTGGTTATCTATCAAAATTTGCTTCAATTATGTAATACTTGTTTTGTTGCCTAATGTAATGCAGTGTCATCTAAACTACATTAACAAACCAATACATCATTTGAGCGAAAATACCCTTAATTTGTTTTTATGCAAAAACAAAAACACTCTAAATATAGATCTTTTGTTTATAAGTAAACATATTAAGAGAATAGCAAATACCTGAAAAGCATTATTTAATATATTACTGTATAATAAATATTTCAGATTAATAGAAATATAATAAATACAGTATATTAAATTTTATACACATACACAATTCTGTATAATGTTTTAATAACACTCATTGTAATTCTTAAATCAATATTTATTTACCGAGTAATAAAAATAAGAAATCATATATCATTTAGCAAGGAATTCACTTGAATTCAATGCATTTACAGAAAACATATTTAAATAAATAAAAGCCAATTGTTTGCGAGTTTTAAATGAATTGAATTTTGGGGGATAATTAAAATTCAAATGAAATACACACGAGTAATAAACAATTCATTTGTTATGCAAATTCATTAGAATCCAGAATTCATAACAAAACATGATCAAATTATACTTGCGCCAAATTTAATGAAAAATATTTTAAACATAAAATTTTTATTATACTCGAAAACGCATTTCACTATATTATTGACATTAGTTTTATTGTTTTTCGCAGTTCTGGTTTCAAAATGAATTCACGATTTGTAGTGATTTTATTGATTTTTTCGGCTATAATTTCATTTCGCAAGTGTTTATTTAACAAATAGAGAAAATTTTCACTGCATTTTCAATCCAAAGTTTATGAACTAATAAAATAAATGTGATTTTTATTAAAGTCTAAAACTTATATTGCTAGTAACGTTAAGTGCAGTATCTCTAAATGCCTAAAAATAGCGTAAATTCTTAATATAGCGATAATCAATCACTTTCTCCATTCATTGTATTTTGTTATTTGTAAAACTACAAACCGTTTATTTTAATTAAAGTAAACAAAGATTTTTACTTTTTTATTTCAGTATAAGTTTGACAATAAATTTGAGGCGTTTCTCTCAGATATTTTATGCACTAATTATTTCGCAAATAAATTATATTCAATAAAACCCAATGATACGCCAATGAAAAAGCAAAACTAAATGAAAAGCAAAGCAGTTATGACTACAAAACTTAATGCTAAGATAAAATAAACTAATTTTTTTGGTGCTGTGAATGGAGTTGTATGTGAGGGCTGTGAGGGATGTGCGACAAAAAACAATTTTATATCAAATGTAATATAATATAAAAACACAGAACTTATTGCACATCCGTTCATCTGAAGGCATTAGAGATAGACAACGATTGGCGAAACCGTTCAATAAATGTATTGATAGCTTGCGTTTGATTCACAAACATTTTTCGGGTAAAAAACATTTATGAAACTATAGTCCGACCGATTCCTGTAGCACTCAATGCATACGCATATTCATCACATTTATCTTTATTTGTATGGGAATTGACTTAATGTCCGATAAATCTATTTAATCCATGTTTTAATTTATATACAATATGAGCAAATTCATAATGTACTCCATACAACAAATAGTGATATGTATATACATATAGATATAAATATTTCACTATTTCTCGTGAATCAAAAGTAAGAATATATTTAATTTGATTAAAAGGTAACAAATAATTAAACAAGGTAAATAGTTAATACTCACTTGTGAATAGCGGACGACTTTGCAAAGTAGATTTCCGCCGTAAAAGCTAACGGTTGTCTTCCAGGCTATATCTGTGGCCACACTCACCAAACCTACCGTCAAATCTGTCAACAAACCAATCAATTTATTAAACCTTTCGTTTTATTATTAAACTTTTCTTTTAATTGTCTATCAAATTATGTCCAATTTAATCAATACAATTTAGTACTTGTGTTTGTTATAAAAAACAATTCACTTATTTAGATAAACAACTAATAAGATTATAGAGACAATGCATTTCTATAATAATAAATTATGTTTAATTCATGAGCTTATTATGGATGTCATAATGGAGTGTCATTCAGAGTTTGTAATTATATTTCACTCATAACTGAATAATATTTCACTGAACTGTCTCTTAATCAACAAATAATATTCCTGAATATAACTTATACAGTATACTGTATATTTGATATGAATTCTGTATAGTTCTTAATTTTCAATTGAACCTGACAAATTATACTACAAATACATAAGTTAATTTAATTGTGAAGTTTGAAAAGAAAAATATGTATTATTTTATACGCGTTTCAAAATAGTTTTATTAAAAACTTTCAAATAAAGTAGGACAAATTTTTAAATATTAAAGTAAATATTTGAATAAACTTTAATGAACAAAATAATTTGAAATTATCCTAAAATATATTCTAATCGTATAGTACAATATTACGATAGAAATGTTAAATTTAATTACTTGAGTAGTTAAAAATTGAAATATAGGTCAAAACTATAAATGATTTCTAAGAAGTTTAATATTTAGAATTAATACTACTAAATTCTTGTATATTAAACAATTTTCAGCTATTACTTTTTTATCCCATAATTTTATAGAATTGGTAAATAACTTAATGGCAATAAAAAATGACTTAATGTTTAATAACATAATTCTGTGTGTTAACAAATTATCTGTGAATTACTTGCGTGTTGACAAATGTATGGTATAATCAAATTAAGGGTTTTTTATTTAAAAGCAAATTTAAGGAAATTAGGGCTAACATTAATTTAATTTGTCATTGTTTGCGTCAATAATAAAATTAATACCAAATTTGTTTAGACGTTGTCTTGAATTTGCAAACATTTATATAAACTTTTCAAACTCATTATAAAACTAATCTATTAAATACACTAAATGTAAAGAATTAAGCAATTGGTTTAAGTATAAAAAATCTTGTATACTAGTAAGTTAAATGTCAGATTTCTTAATATAGTTTTATAGAGTATATTATATTTTATACTAAATTTATATTCCGGGCAAAGCTCATACAAAATTCATTACAAATATTTTCACTTAATATATGAGACACTAATAGAATTGCGAAAATTCTTATGAATGTTTCGTTAATGTTTTATATCTATTGTGTTTTTATTAAAATAAGTGAAAATAAAGTGATGGCAAACCATGTCTGGCATAGGAATGGGAGAGAAAATCGTAATATTCTCAGTGATTGAGTCGTGCATTACTCACGACATTATGACATTCACTGGTAATAAGAAGAATACATTAAAGAAATGTATGGATTGTATGGACGACGACATGCTGTCACCACAGATCACTTGTCTTAAGACTGGACCCAATATTTAATCTGTTTTTTACTTTTTTGTCTGTTGTTTATAGTAATGAACGGACGCAATGGGAAACCAAATATATAGTATTTCTAATACAATGTATTTCTGTACCATTAGTACGATTCATGCCAATTATTTGCTTAAATCCATTGCATAACATGTATTATTCAATCATGATAAACTTATTTTTAGACTACAACAAATTACTAATTCATAATTTTAGTTTCATATTTACTATAGTATAATATTTATGGTATTTATTTTTTAATTACAAATATATTTCAATTTTTAATGTGTCATAAGATAAAGTTGTAATTAAGTGTATGTCGTGTTTAATGTTGTATAAATTTTGAGTTATGATTAGTATTCATATAATTATCGCTTTAATTAGGTATTAATTTAAAGATAAGTTAAATGATATTTTTGGTGAATGAAACAAACAATGAAACAGATTTATCAAATGATTGTACGTTTTGTGAGGACATACATGTATGGCCAGAGGAATGAGATATTAAGGGGAGACTTACCGGCGACCGCCAAATGCATGATAAAGAAGTTCATTCGTGTCTTTCGGTTCTTCGATCGGAGAAGAGTTATCAGTACTGAACAGTTGCCGCACAAAATCAGTGCCAATAAGACCCATAAGAATATCAGTGTTTCGGTCTGTCAGGAGAAAGCAAACATCAAATGTAATTAATTTTCTCATACATAATGCTCTTAAGAGATCTACTAATGCAATGTTGGCATTAATATTTACACTATGCTATAAAATTATTGTATAATATTATTATATACAATTGAATATACAATATGTTTAGTAGTAGTTTGCAAAGAATTGTAAGAATTTGTAAGAAAGTTATTGTTATGTAAGGAATATCCGTTGTTGTGACAATAATACATGCAATTTACAATCAAATGTTATTTTTAAAATGGATTATTTTGACATATACAACAAACAGTCGGAAAACTCGACGATCATTTATCATTATTTTAAACGTAAATCTTTTTTGTATTTATTTAAAAATTTATTCGTCTGTATTGTAAGTAAAAAGTTCTCGGTTTTATTTTTCGTATTTGTTTTTATATAAAAATATTCTAGATGTTTGTATGGGAATAACTTATTTGGATAAAACAAAAGCAAATATTTTATAATTTCTGTTTCACTCGATATTCAAAAATAACATAAATTATACGAAATAAAGCCCTATTTATTTGACTATTTTCAGTGGCAAAGGAGTTATAGTCTGAAAATCGTGTGAATAAATGTCATGCAATTGATGCCATGAATATTGTTTTGTCTGTAAAAAGAGTTTTTGAGAGAATTTTCAAATTCCTCGAAGCGTTAAATGGAAAACACTTTCACTGGGAATCGGACTCTCTTTCAATGGGCTTCTGATGTCAATTCACGTCTCATTCAATGACTGGATCTCACATTTTCACTCAACATTCAAATGAAATGTCAAATTGTTTCACAATTCTAATCACAATAACGTCAATCATTATTTTGAATCCAAATTATTGCATTGCCAGAGAGAGAGAGAGAGAGAGGGAGGGAGAGAGAGAGAGAGAGAGAGACTCATGTGATTTTCAATTTTCACATTTCGCTCAAAACTATATGTTTCGCTTGTGATTGACGCCAATGCCTCTCAGAAATGCTATCAAAAAATTCATTTACAAAGCATTTTAGGTGCACTGAATCGCACATAATATGATTGGCGATGAAAATGCAATGATTAAGTGGACCGGCGATGGGAAGTCCCATCATATTTCTCATGGCTATCACTGGCACTGGTCTCACATATTGTACACAATCTGGTGTTGAGTGACCCCATTAACCATCAAAACGACGTTCACTATAATGGACATCAATTATATGTATGCCGTTTTGAATACTGCATTCAATTCAATGTTATTTTACTTGAATTGTCAGCTTTTCAATACATTATTACCCTTATTATTATTAATATATTATTATTCTGGTACCAAATTAGTTATCCAATTAAACTAATTTAATTATCATTTATTAATTTAATTGTAATTTAATTAAAAAGAAATTATCATTTATTTAATATCTGTTTAAATTTTTATAAATAAAATGTTAACATTTATTCTATATATAGAATTTGTATTATTAATTATTTAGAGTAATGTATCTGCGATTGTTATTTTCATTTTAATTCAATTAATAAATTAGAAAATATTAGAAAGAAAGTACATTTTAAAATTATTTTGAATTTTTATAGTTTAGGAATAAATAATTTTATATAAACTTAGTTTTCATCTCATTATAATAAGTTTGTATACAGTAATATTCTAACACTTTTACATAAAATATTAAAACATGTTAATATGTATAAATAAAGACTGTGAACTTTGACTAAATTGAACCTGGGACCTCGACATATGCTTATTTTTGAATGCAAAGTAGTGAATTGGTTGACAAAATTATGAATAATTCATTTAATTTTTGTTTTTAAATATTTTTGACAATCATACTTAAGAATGTATGTTTTGTGAATATATAAGTAATAAATATTAATTCCAACTTATTATACTGCAACATTATACCTACACAAAGTTCTCAGTTCAGGTTAATACTTAACAAATAAGGCGGCGTGCACAAAGTACATACGCACTGGTAGGGG